GATTTTTTACCTGGATTACTGAGATGCATCAGGATATTTGCTGCTTGTTTGGTCATGTTTTGTGTTTATATTTATTACGTTGTTTACAGGGAATCACAACATATTCCACATGTATTTAACTTTCATAAAGGGAACATTTCATGTTTTTCAGTGGTTCTGCAGACTTATATTTAATACATCCATTAAATAAGCAAAGGAAAGGTAGTGTTCATTTCAGGTGTTTTACTTCGAGGCCTTGCTGCTGCAGCTGCTGTCAAAGATAAACTTTAAATAAATTTTCACTGTAAACCTCGATTTACATCCAGCTGTTGCCAAGTTAAACTTCTGGGTTAATCAGAAACATCACGTGTGTAATTTAAAGAAAAATGCCCGAAATTACTTGAAATAAATCCCAGCTACTGTCTCTTTATGTGGAAGTTTGTTACCTCACGTTTTATTACAGAATGATGCAACGTCCGCATTAACATCAGTCATCACCACACAGAGGTTTAGGTGCTCAGAAGTTTCATTTTAACAACTGTTTATGCTGCAGTGAAAATGTGCTTTTTTTTTTTGTAAGTGCCACAAATGAAATAAATACTTTTTAAAAGTGCTTTTTATTGATTTTTTTTGTTATACCAAGTTTATCCGCTAGAGGGAAGCGCTGCTTATAGTTTGGTGAAAAGACCYGAACTGACGCTGTTCAAATGGTGCGTTTATGTACCGTAGGAAAGAAAGTTTAATTGAGTAATTTTTAAATCTTCAATAAAATCTCGAGAATAAACTTGTAATATAAAGTAAAATAACTACGCTGGAATACTCGCCATCATTCATTTTTTACTTATTATTTAAACTCTCATGCGTTTTATTTTGTCTTGAAAGCGACCCTTTTTCAGAAGCAAAAAGTCGGATTTAATGTTGGACCGTGAAGGCATCTCTAACTCCTCACTGAAGCCGGGCTCACAAACAGGCCTGTTGACTTGTTTGTTTACTAATTTCTCCTAAACAATATCTTTAAACGCGTTACTGGTAGCAGGCATGCTAATGTGTTGTTTAAAAGTTTAGATGAGTTAAAGTGTGTCAGCGCTGACCTGCTAAACGAGTGCTGCTTTTCGTTGTTAGCTTAATTAGCAGCACGAGATCGCGTGACGCCGGATCGCATTCAAAATATGGGTGTTTTAAAGTATTTATAAACATTCTTAAGGTATGCTTTAATTAAGCGAAGAATTTCTGCCTAACTTTTAGCTATTTGAATATAATCTTTAATTCGGCTTGGAAATAAATGCGTTAAAATGTGGAATTTAACTTCTTGCACTGTGATCAGTGTTAATCACTTTCAAGTCAGTGGTGTTTTTTTAAATATTTATTAATTTTTTTAACATTTTCTGTTTGTGTTTAATTTTTTAAAGGATTTAGAATGGCAGGCCTGTGGAGATCCTACCAGACATTAATGACCAAATATCCCTGGACAGTCCAGATTGTTACTGCTGGTAGGAACAAGTCTGACAATATTTCTAACATTTGTACATAAGTCATTTTAATAAGGCCAAATTATGGCATTTTCTAAATGTTAACATAGGTGCATATTTTATATGAATATAAAAAGTGTGTGTGCGTGTG